GAGTGATCAGCAGGGTCAAAGGCTGCGGAGAGGTCAAGGAGAATTGAGATTGAGAAAAGCCATTGGATTTGGCTGCTAAGAGATCATTGGTAACTTTGGAGAGAGCAGTTCAGCAGAATGATATGGTTGGAAGCTGGATTTTAAGGGGTTAAGAAGAATGAAAGGAGAGAAAGTGGAGGTGCCTATTGTGGACTGCCTGAGTTTAGCTACAATGAACAGAAGAGATATAGGATGATAGTAAGGATAGAATGATCAAGTGAGGATTTTTTTTGGGATGAGGGAGACATAGGTATGTTTGTAGGCCATATGAAATGAGCCAGTAGACAGGGAGAGATTGAAGGAGACAGGATGGAATGGGATCACATATGTAGGTAGAGGGGTTAGCCTTGGTAAGGAGTAGGACCGCTTTGTCATGTGAGATAGGGCTGAAAGAAGAGATGGTGGCAGAAGACATCTGAATGATAGGAGATGTGGAAGAGAGGAGAAAAGGGAACTCATGGTGAATGGCCTCAATTTTAGGAACTTGGGTGTTACCAGCTTCAGGTCCAGTGCTTTATCCATTGCACCATCTAGGAACTGGGGGTCAGAAAAACTAGGTTCTGGCACTGCTCTGCCCTTACCAATGTGTGACCTGTGTCCTTCTCTGCCCTGTTTTCCTTGTCTATAAAATGAGGGAATTGAACTACATCATCTTGGAGATCCCTTCCAGCACTAAAATGGTGTGGTTTTTTTTTCCCCCAGAGGTGTTACTTGAATTAGCATTTCATACGAAGATTTTTACCCTGGGTTTTTTACCTTTAGAGGACCAAAGGGATACTTTTCCTAATGTCTCCATATTTTGGATAGTAGTTATTTATTATAGGTAGATATATTTCTCAGGGCTGAAGATCAAATATCTGTTAATTTCCAGAGCAGGAAGGTATAGTTAGTGGATTCTTTTAATTTCTGTTTTCAAAGCAAAGTATTTGAAGTCAGCTTTAATTATAAATCTTTAGTAAGCTAACTAGTATTTCACAAGTATTTTTGAGCATCATAACAAGAAATCCAGACTTTTCAGCATATTCATTGGATGTCCTTAAGCAGATAATTAAACTTTCAAGTAAAAGTGCATAGAAAAACAAAATTTATAACTATTATTCCTTTCTATGGGCACTATTTGATTTTTTTGTCTAGACCCTACTATTTCTTTTTTTTTAAAGACTGTATCTTTCTTTGACATATTCAGAAAGGCTATTCCAACCATATGAGGAAGGGAGAATGTTCCAGGCCTGGGGGATAGCCAGTGCAAAAGCATCAAGTCAGAAGATGGAGAGTGTGAGGATCATCAAGGAGACCAGTATTCCTGTAGAATACATAGAAGGGAGCAGAGTGTAAAAAGACTAGAAACATAGGAAGGGGCCAAGTTGTGAAGAGCCTTATATGCTAAATGTAAGACTTTCTATTTGGTCTTAGAATTGATAGGGAACTGCTGGAGTTAATTGAGTAGAGGGGCTGTTCAGACCTGCACTTTAGGAAAGTAAGTTTGGCAGCTCTTTGGAGGACGGATTGAATAGAATGAGACGTGTGGAAGGGAGACCAGTTGGAAGGGTGTTGCAGTGGTCTGAGAGATGGGGAATGAGGGCCAGAACTGTGGTGCTGTGTGAGGGGAGAGGAAGTATAGGAGACATATTGGGAAGGTAAAAATGACAACATTTGGCAACTGATTGCATGTATGGTGTGAGTGAGAGTGTGTGATCAAAGATGACATCAAAGTTGCCAACTTAGGTGAGTAGGAGGACAATCATGCCCTCAGTGATAATAGGGAAGTTTAGAGGAGGGGAAGGTTTAGGGTGAAAGATAACAAATTCTATTTTGGATATGCTGAGATTTAGATGCTTGTGGAATATCTAGTTTGAGATGTCCAAAAGGTTGTTGGTATTGTGAGATTGGAGCTCTGAAGGAAGATTAGACTGGATCTGTAGATTTGGAAGTAATCTCTGTAGTGATGATAATGGAACCCATGTGAGTTGATGATGGTTTTGAGAAACAGTGTTAGAAAAGAAGAAAAGAAAACCCAGGACAAAGTCTTGGAGCTCCCACTTAGGGAGCATTATACATGGATGATGATCCGGCAAAGGAGACTGAAAAGGAACATTCAGACAGGTAGAAGAGTACTCAGTCAGTTAACATATATTAAGTATCTACTTTGTACCGGGCACTATGCTAAGCACTGGAGATACAGAAAGAGGCAAAAGACAAGTCCTTTTCTCAGGGAGCTCATATTCTAATGGGGGAGATAATATGCAAATAAGTAAGTGCAAATAAGCTGTATACCAGATAAAATAGGAAATAATTAAATGAAGGAATGAACTAGAATTAAGAAGAGTTAGGAAAGCCTTCCTGTAAAAGATGGTTGGGGCTTAAGGAGAACCAGGGAAATCAGTAGATGGAGATGAGAAGACAGAGCGTTCAAGGCATAGGGGACATGCTGGAGAAATGAAAATGCCCAGAAGCAAGAGATAGACTGTCTTGTCTGTAGAACAGTCAGAAGACCAATGTTACTGGAGCAAAGTGGTGTGGCAGGGAGTAAAGTGTAAGAGGACCAAAAAGGTAGGAGGAGGTTAGGTTATGAAGGGCTTTGAATGCCAAACATAGGATTTTATATTTGATCCTGGAGGCAATAGGGAACCAATGGAGTTTATTGACTAGGTGAGTGATTTTATTGAGTGACATGGTAGGACCTGCACTTCAGAAAAATCACATTGGTGACTGAATGGAAGATAGAATGGAGTGGGGAGAGACTTGAGGTAGGTAGACCCACAAACAGGCTATTGCAATAATCAAGGCCTTTACCAGAGGGGTAGTAGTATCAGAGAAGAGAAGGGGGCATATAGGAGAGATGTTGCAAAGGTGAAATCATTAGGCCTTGGCAACAGATTGTGAGCTTGAGGGACTGGGAGGATGGTGTTGCCTTCTACAATAATAGAGAAGGTGGGAGGTTGGGGAGACTTTAGGGAGAAAGATAATGAATTCAGTTTTGAACATTTTTAGTTGAAGATGTCTACTGGAGATCCAGTTTGAGATGTTTGAAAGGCAGTTTGAAATGAGAGACTGGAGGTTAGCAGAGAGGTTGGGGCAGGATAGGTTGATTTGAGAATCATCAGCATAGAGACCGAAATTAAATCCATGGAAGCTGATGAGATCACCAAGTGAAGTAGCGTAAAAGGAGAAGAGAAAAGCAGAGGGCCCAGGACAGAACCCAGGGGGACATCCGAGGTTGGAGGGCATGATCTGGATGAAGATTGAGTAGAGGAGACTGAGAAAGAGTAGTTTGATAGGAGGAGAATCAGGAGAGAGTGATGTCCTAAAAACCCAGAGAGAAGAAAGTATCAAGGAGGAGAGGTTGCTCAACAGTGTCAGAGGCTGCAGAGAGGTCAAGGAGAATGAGGATGGCAAAGAGGCCATTGGAGCAGTGTCACAAAAACCCAGAGGAGATAATATGCAGAAGGAGAAGATAGTCAAGTAGTGTCAGCCTCTGTAAAGAGGTCAAGATGATTGAAGATCAAGAAAAATCAATTAGATTTAGCAATTAGGAGGTCATCGGTAACTTTGGAGAGACCAGTTGGAGATGAATTATGAAGTTAGAAGCCACATTTCAGAAAGTTTAGAAGAAAGGAGGAGGAGAGGAAGTGGAGGCACTGAATATAATAGCTTCTCAAGGAGGTTAACCAAGAAGGGAAGGAGTAATATAGGAGGATAGTAGAGATGCTGGGATCAGATGAGGGTTTTTTCAGGATGGTTGAGACATAGGTGTGTGAATGGAATGAGCCATTAGATTGGGAGAGATGAAGGCTAGAGAAGGGTGTCTTGATGCTAGGGGCAGTCGGTTGGGAGAAGACAGTAAGAAGTGGGATCAAGGGTGCTTGTGGAAAGGTTTGTTTTTGCAAGGAGAAGGGCCACCACTTCATCAGAGACTGGTGGAGGAGGAAATAGTGGGGAATAATATGAAAAGGAACTGAGTTGAAGAGGTGAGAAGGACCTCTTGTCAAATGGCCTCAACTTTTTTGGTGAATTATGAGGCAAGGCCGTCAATTGAGAAATTAGAAACAAAGGATGCTGGGGAAAGATTGAAGAATCTTGGGGTTTGGAATAGCTATTTTGGTGAGTGTGAGAATAGATAGCAGAGGGAGGATTGTCTTACAATTGAGGTTTGATAACAAACATAATCATTATGACTTTGTGATTTCATTTTCCTTTTCCTGCAAGTGAATACAGGTGAAGGAGGTGAGTAATCCAGAGTTGTGGTTTGACAAAGTGTGATCAGTGACAGGATAACTGGCAGGGGATTTAAAAGTAGAGGATAGAATTGAAGTGGTTCAGTAAGAGGTTGAAATTGGGAACTGAGAATGTAGCCAGTGCAGGGGTAATGACCTGGTAAAGCATTGATGGGTAGAGGGATTGCAGATCCTGGTGGGGACAAAGAACAATATTGAAGATTATAAGCTTGGGGAAAAATGAAATGATGAAAGTTTGTGATCAGATAAAGGAATTTTGGAGTTCTTGACATGGAATTGGAATACTTGTGGGAGAATATCAAGGGTGTGAGCATCTCCATATGTAGCTGCAGTGGATGGAGGAGTAAGTAGTTCTTGGGAATTGAGTAGATTGAAGAATTTGGAAGTTAGGATATTTAAAGGATTTGCTTCCCCCTTCCCCTCTCCTATTGTATGAGAGCAGGAGTAGTGGAGGAGACAAAGACAGTGTGGGAGATGCTGAATTGATTGCAAAAGGAGGGAGGATGAGCTCGGGGTTAGTTTAAAAAAAAAAAAGAAAAGAAGGAAAAGGTGAAGGGCAAGTGTGGGAACAAAAGAGGGCTACTTTTAAGTTCTTAGTTTTTGGGTCACAGCATGATAAATACTAAGAGTGGGTGCTGAGTCTAGTATTGCTTCATTACAAATGTTCTTTTGTTTTACTTTTGTTATCATTTTCCTCCCAACTTCCTAGGCTGGGGATCTACTCACCAGCCATTTTGCTGTCAGACCAGAGACCATATCCTGTATGTTTTAATCCTTTATCTCTGGAATTTCTACTCTTGGGCCGCTGCTGTCCTGGTTGGTATGTGTCTCTTCTGGCCCACTAGGCAGGCCCTAACCAGGCTTAATTTTATTCCCTACTCTCTGGAAATCTACTCTAGTATTACCTTGCCTTGTCTATATGTATGCTTCTTCCCCAACCCCTTCATTTCTGGAATAGTTCCCCAGATGTGTATTTTCTCCGCGTGTTGGAATGTAAGTTCCTTGGGGACAGGGATTATCTCTACTTTTGTATTTGTATTCATAGTGCTTAGCACTTAAATGCTTTTTAATTCATTCACTTTGCTGTCAAGGAGGCAGAGTGGAAAGAACACTGGTTCTGGAGACAGAAGGTTCAGATTTTCTCTCTGTTACCTGTGGACCTTGGGCAAGTCACTTAGCTTACCTGGGTCTCAATTTCCCCAACTGTAAAATGAGGTTGAACTATATGGCCTCCGAGGACCTTTCCTCCTGAAGATCTTGATCAGTGATCCAATCTTTCTAATAAGGAAAGTGGTGATCTTAATGAAACAGTTTGAATTGCTTTGAAAGACACCCTACCTTCTTGATGACCACTCAAAAGAAGTAATGTAATATGGTTAATGCAAAAGAGAGCACTTAGGTTTGGAGACAGAAACTTTGGGTCCAGATCTAGGCTCTGCTTTTATATTACTTGTATGACCTTGAGTAAGTTACTCTTGAGACCTTAGTTTCGTAATTTAAATGATGGTGCTAGACTAGATATTTTCTAGGCCCCTTCCACTTGGAATTTTGTAACTCTATGAACTCCTTGTTAAACTGTGCTTCTAATGTTAAACTCCCAGTGTTGCCAGTGGATTTAAATATTTTCATGACTGTTATCTATTTATTATTGAGAATTTTAGGCATCATTGCATAAAGGTATCAGAAATGTTTATATTTAATATATCCATAGTATCTCCTTTAATTTTTAAAATTATTTTATGGTTAATTGAAAAACCATTGAAGAGATTAATTCCCAGGACTATCAAATTTTTCTGATTTTACTTTTATAATAACATGGCTATGTACTATTCATATTTAATACCATATTCCTGAACACTCACATCCTTTGTATGATACTGTCTTTTACAGCATTAAGGTTGCTGCTTTTCCATTATGTTTGGTGGGTATGAGAATATAGAAGCATATGAAGATGACCTTTACCGAGAGGAATCATCCAGTGAACTGAGTGTTGATAGTGAAGTGGAATTTCAACTCTATGGCCAAGTACATTATGCACAGGACCTTGGTGATATCACTAGGGAGGAAGACAATGAAGAAAAGAGCTGTGGGCATCCTGAGTCATTGAATATTAAAAAGACAAACCAGAAGAACTTAATTGTTCTTTCAGATACTGATGTCATCCAGATATCAGATGGTTCAGAGGTCATCTCTTTGTCTGATGAAGATAGTGTCTACAGATGTAAAAGAAAGAACAGAGGAAACCAGGTACTGGAAAGTCAATGTGATCAGCATTCTGATGAATTGTCTAGAAAGAAATGTAAGAGAGGTATTAAGAAGTCAAAACGTGGAGAGAGATCTAATGTGATTCAGGAAGTTATGGTTATAGAGGATAGTTCAAATGAAGAGAAGGAGATTACTATCTCTGAAAGTGGAGAAAGTGATGTGGAGAGCTGGATGTTACTGGAATGTGAAGTAGATGACAAAGATGATAACATTCTTCTCAACCTTGTGGGCTGTGAAACCTCTGTTGATGAAGGTTAGTACCATTTTACCCATTTTGGTTAGTTATATTAACCATTGTCTCTCATCACTGAGAAGCACCATTGCCTCTAAAGAGATTCATTTACAATAGTTGAGGCCAATGTATTGGGTCTTGTGACTTTCACAAAAGGTAGAATCTAATAAATCTCCATTGTTAAATTTTATTCCTTATCTTTTTATCTTTCATTGTTATTTCACTGAAGATGTCTCTTACCCATGGTTCCTTTGATGCTAATCTCGCAGAATTTCAGAGTTTCAAAAGACTGAGACACTTATAACTTCTTAGTTCTCCCACCACATTGTTTAGGCACAGATTAATGTTCCATCCAGCACCAGCCCTATACTTGTCCACCTCCTCTGCTAGAAGATTCCTCTACTATGTAGCTTGGTGAAGAATTAGAACACTGTTATAAGACCAAAGCTAGACAATATAGCGTTTGGTAGGGCAAGTAGTGGCCATGAATCTGTTGTAGAACTGGGTGGAGTATTTATCTTGTGGTCAAGCAATAAAGAGAAAAACTGTGAAGAGCTTTAGGGCTAGGGTAGAAACTAGTGTAATGAATTTGTGTTCCTTGACTCTTAAACCCAGTGTTTACATTGTCAGAACCACCATTTAGCATTGAAAACTTTCCTCACATTCTGAGCAAAGAATTGAACCATTAAATAAACTGTTGTTAAAGTAGATAGTAAGGCTGATGAATAGAAAAAAATCTGAAATACTGAGGGATATATATATATACACACACACACACACATACACACACACATACATATATACATACATACATACATATATATATATATATATTTGGGTTTCACATTAAAAAAAACTTTTTATGAGTCACTGCTATGTGTAAAGGACTGCGGAGTACAGAAGTATAAGAAATATTCCCAGACCTCAGGGAGATAATAGTTGGGAAACTCTGTGTAGTACCTGATAAGTAGTAAATAAGTGATATAAGAGTATATACTATGGAAGTTCAAAGGAGTTTGAAAACTCACTGTGGGTTAATGTCAGATGGAACTTGAACTGAACTTTGAAAAACAAGGAAAAGTAAAATGGGCCAGAAGCAAGGGAAAGGTGTTCCAAATTATCAGGTCTATATATATCGTGTTCTAGGAGCAATAATAAGTGACATGTAATTTTTAAAAGTTGGTATAGCATGTGTATATACCAGCAAATAAATATCTATCAGCAAACTTGAGCACAAGTACACATCAGCATCTACAGTATGTGTTTTGCTCCATAGATTTAAATTGAGCCCAAAGAAAGGAAAAATTTGTGTCTCAATTAATTCAGATAGAGATATCTTGCCTATCTTGATCATTACAAAATTCAAGTCAGTTCATTGTTTATGGGTGTGCCACTGACGTTGGTGTTGCATGTTTGAAATTTAGTTTGTTTATATTTTAATTATTATGAATTGTTAACATTTTTTTTGTATTCCTTAGTTACTGGACTAACTTGAAATATTTCAGAATTTTCAAACTTATCTGATTTTTTAAATTAAACTAATAGTAACCACATTTCTTTATAAAAAAACTTCTAAGACTGTTAACTATTATAATCACTGACATTTATAGAGTGCGTTATAGTTTTAAAGATGCTTTATCTATATTATCATATTTGGTCCTCACAGTAGTTTGTGAGGAAAAAAATGCAATTATTATTCGCATGTAGAGAATTGCAGCTGGAGATGGTGAGTTGCCCAAGGTCACATAGTAAGTGGCAAAGCTTGTATTTTAGTCCAGGGACAATGTGTAGACTAATATGAATAGAGGGGAGGAAGGGGAAGTATTCACCATTGGAGAAGATTGGAGACTTGGTTGGGGTCAGATTGTAGAGGGTATTGAATAACAAACTAAGGAGTGGACTTGTTTAATCATTGAGGAACCACTGAAGTTTTTTGAGCAAGGGAATGATCAGGAATTTTAGTACTCGAGGCAGGGAGACTAATTAGGCTTTTTATCATTTGGATATTAGGAAATAAAGGACAGGGATCAGGTGGTGGTGTGAATGAAAAGCTAGAGACTGATGGAAAAGATATTAGAAAGGAGTACTGTTAACTTGCTATTATAGTTTAGAGTGAGGAACTATGATGTCACAGGATTAAATAGGATAGGTTTAAATAGGAACTGTGTGATGTCACAGGATAGTTTTCTGAATTAGTTAAACTCGCTGAAGATGACGGTAAGAGATGGGTTAGGGAGGGGAAATAGGTGCTGAAGTCATTGAGGACAAGGAAATTTATGTGTAGGGTGATAGGTGATAGTGACAATGATCAGTTGACAGATTGTAAATGGATAGTGTGAATTTGGTGTGAGGAAAAGTGGAATAATTGTTAATTGTGATCAGTAGCATTGTGAAGTCCAGTCTGACCCCTTCTCATTAAGATAAAGAGTTTCAGTCTTCTTTTCCACTGCAGGTGTGTGGTACAGTGTGGCATGATGAGTCAGACACTATCCTTGTGTTGATTAATTTCCTCCTTTTTTTTTAACCCTTCTTCTAAGGGATGACTGGGTATCAAAAGGGATATAATTGGAGCAAATGGGATATAGAAAATAAGGGATAAACATCAACAGAAATAAGAATTCTCCCTCTAAAGAATTTCCAGGGGCTCTTTCTAGGATAAAATACAAAGTTTTGTATAGAAGGTGGTGCTTGAATTACATCTTGAAGGAAGGAGAAAGATTCCATGAGGTAGAGGCATAAGCCTCTATAGTTACATTTTTCTAATACTGATGTACTCTTAACCAGTTTTCTACAAGATTGCTTCTAACTTTTTTCTACAAGATTTTCTGCAGTATGCAAGCATTAGGATTGGTCAGTGCAAAGAAATAGAAATGAGAGGGGAGTGATGTGTGAAGAATAGCAGGAAGGCCACTTTGGTTGGATTGTGGACTGTGAGAAGGGGGAAATCTGTAATGAAGCCAGAAGACAAATTGGGGCAAGGTTGTAAAGGACTTTTAAAAGCTAAATGGAGTTGGTCATTGATCTTAGAGGCAATAGAGAATATCACTGGAATTTATTGAGTAGGGTAGCGATATGGTTAGATGTGCACTTAAGGAAAAAAAAAATTGTGGAGGATGAACTGGAGTGGGTTGAGTGAAGGAGACCAATTAGGAGGTCTTTGCAATAGTTAGTCTTAGGCAAAAGGTGATGAAGGCTTGGACTAATGTGGTGAATGTGAATAGAGAGAAAGGGTTGAAATGAGAGAGATGTGAAGGTAGAACCAGCATGATTTGTCAGCTGATTGGATTGGTGAGGGAGAGAGTAAGAAATCGAGGATGATGCCAGAGTTAAAGATTTGAAAGGCTGGAAGAATGATGGTACCTTTGAAAGTAATGGGGGTGTTAGAGCCAACTAGGTGGCTTGATGTGGGACCGAGAGCTGAGGTTAAAGGCTTGGCATATACTTATAATTAAATCACATATAATGTTTTAAAAGATCCTTGGTCTAGAGTCTTAAGTCATTTTAAGCCTGTGGTCTTATTAATTCTTTTCTCATAATTTTGTTTTTTTTTCTTTTCTGTAGTTGTATTTGTTGACATTTTTCTATTGTGACTTTTTATTTAACATTTTCTTCCTTGTTTGTATTATTTCATTGGTATAGCGAATTTCTGATGATGGAACTCTTGCTATCAGTACAAATAAGCATTTGCTCAGTACTTAATAGTCTTAAACAGTAGCTGGATTATTGAAAAGTTTAGAGCAGAAAGGGACCTTAGAGCTTACTAGTGATCAGGGATACCTCTTGATTGGTATGCCATAGAATCAAACCTATCTCAGGTGCTTTGAACTGTGGTAATGTATGGCAGTGTTAAACTTGGGTTGTCTGTTCTATCCCCACTCTCTTTGGACCTATCCATTTAACCCACAGAGCCCTGATTAAATCTAGATGGCTCCAAAATTTGCAGCCAAAGATACTTATACATGTCTTATCTCTCCATAAGCTTCATGGGGGCAGGGACCATATTTTTTTCTTCTTGTCACTTAGCACAGTGTCTTGAATAGGGGCTCAGTAGCTATTCGATGAATGAACAACTCTTGTGCTCCTCATCAGTGATAGTTGTTAAGTCAGATGCTTTAATTAGCTAGAAGTATATGTTGAGTCCTGAATGTGTAGTAGGCAGTAATTGAAATTTTATTGATTAATTAAGATTTGATTGAACAAGTTATTTGGCTTGTATTAAAAACCCATTATATAAATAATGATTCACAGATCTTTTTCTCAAATAAAGACTGGTATATTTGACATTCTTGTAATGAGGATGGATGTATAATGTGATAGTGAAAGTCAGGGTAGTTGATAAACATTTTTCATATGATATAAAGCAAATGAGTTATTTAGTATGTTCCCCAATTCAATTTTCCTGAAATATTGATACCCAGCAACTTATTTTTATTTTTAAATTTTTATATTTTCTTTTTTTCCAATTGTATGTAAAAATAATTATAAACATTAAGGTTTTAAGATTTCCAGTTCCAGATTCTCTCCCTCTCCCGTCATTGAGAAGGCTTGCAATTTGATATAGATTATACATATGTCGTAATAAAAAGCATATTTTCATATTAGCTCTGTTGCAAAAGAAAACCAAAAAAAAAGAACAAGAAAAATAAAGAAAATTTAAAAGTATTCTTTGATCTGCATTCAGACTTCCTCAGTTTTTTTCTGGAGGTGGATAGCATTTTTCGTTATAAGTCCTTCAGAATTGTCTTGGATTATTGTATTGCTGAGAATAGCTAAGTCATTCACCGTTTCTGAAACCAACCTGCTGGTTATTTCTTATAGCACAATAATATTCCATCACAATCATATACCATAATTTGTTCAGCCATTCCCCAATTGATGGGGATTGATTCCCTCAATTTCCATTCTTTGCCACCACAAAAAGAGCTGCTATAAATATTTTTGTACATAAAGGTCATTTTCCTTTTTTTTAAAATTTTCTCTTTGGGATACAGATCTAGTAGTGGTATTGCTAGATCAAAGGG